TGTGTTTGAGTGGTGTAAGTGCTTCAGAGAGGGCAGAGAGCGCGGGGAGAATGAACTGCGTGATCGTCGGCCGCACACATTCATCACCAAGCCAAACATTGATCACGCAGACACGCTTATTCGTGAGAATAGGCGCATCACTACCAAGGAACTTGGAGCAATGCTGTCCATCAGTGTTGGTAGTGTAGAAGACATCGTGAAATACCACCTGTACTATTGCAAGGTGAATGCGCGGTGGGTACCATGCACTTTGACAGACGTGAACAAAATGGTACACATGCAAGCTGCCAGTCGTCTCCTACAGCAGTTTGAAGATGAAGGTGATGCATTTTTGAAGTCTATAGTGACCACCGATGAAACGTGGGTGCACTACTTCATTCCCGAGTCCCAGCAGTCATCACGCAAGAGGTGGCATACCAGTTCTCCCAAACCCAAGAGAGCACAGAGGAGCTGTTTGACAGGAAAAGTGATGGTATTGTTCTTCTGGGACTGGCAGGGGGTTATCCATATAGACTTGCTGACAGATGCCAGACCAGTCAATGCAGCTTATTACTCAGACCTCCTGGCAACAGACGTGAAGGAAAAGATCCAATCCAAGCAGAAGACAGGTGGAAAGCGGGTAGCCTTCCTTCAAGATAATGCATGCCCCCACACGGCCAAAACAACAACGGAAACCCTCCAGAAACTGAAATGGAACTTTCTGACATATCCACCATACAGTCCCGATTTGACCCCAAGTGATCTCTACCTGTTCAGAAGGCTCAAATCAGACTTGCAAGGCATGCGGTTTGTGGACGACGTTGTCATCCAGACTGTTCGGGAGTGGATATGCAGCCAACCACAAGCCTTTTTTGAAAAGAGCATCAGGATGCTTCCAGAACATTGGAAAAAATGTGTTGACTCCAGAGGGGAGTATGTTGAAGACTGGCATGTGCAAGTAGGTGTTTGGCAATTATGGTTTTTAAAAAAAATCAGTCCCAGTCATATTTGAACCACCTTGTATTATATCTTAAATTTTATATGTTATATTTAATATTGTATATTTATATTTATTGCATGTGATCTTTTATGTAACACTTTGTATGTGATAAATTTTATATCCAGCCCTACTGGGATACAACTGGATCTATGAAATGTAATTACAAATAAATCAAATAAATGAACAGCTACAACGTACTACACTTCAGTGCTAGAACTGTTCAGCTGCTTGGGTTCTACTTTAAAATGCATTGCATTATAACAACATTTAAAGCTTCCTGTAAATAGAATGTGATTGTCTACATACAACTTGACTCCAGAATTATACAACCTAAATCTACTAAAAGTAAAAGTAAGTAAAGATATCCCTGTACCAGGCTGTGGAGGCCCATGGGGTTGTGAGATGTTGAGGTTCCCATATTTTCTAGACAATCGACTCATAGATGGCGGCAAGGTTGTCAGCCCTACGTGCCGACCACCCTTGACCTCCAAGAATATTCCTGGTACTCATTTCTGTTAGAGGCTGAGTTGACCCCAGGGTCATAGTGCAGCTGGAAGGATTAGGTCAATTGAAAAAATCCAATGACCTCATCGGGACTTGAACCCATGACCTTCTGGCTTGTAGCATAGTGCCTCAACCAACTATGTTACTGATCTACTAGCCATATTTAAAGCTTTGTGTAAATAACATGTGATTGTCTGCATACAACTTCACTCCAGAATTATACAACCTAAATCTAGCAGCCACATCACACAATCCACTTTTCCAGTATCTCACAATATGCTACACACACATATACATATGCCCACCACTCATCTCTGTTAACTCACAGGTGAAGAGTCTGTTACATTCTTGTAGCCCTGGCCCACTCGCAATCAATCATCTTCCGTTTAATCAATATTTCATCCATAAAGTGCATCTATTAAAATGTTATGTAACAATGCAATAGATTTTTATTGCTGCCTGAAAATCAATGTTGAGTGAGCTGTAGGTGGTATATCACTTATGTTCAAAATGAGAGGTTCCTTGTGAAGTGGGAATAACAGATTTACAGTGTTTAAGAAAACAATGTATGCTTATCTTGAAGCACTCTGTGAAGGCAGTGAAGCACTTTACAGACAAATAATATACTATTCTCTTCCATCCTTTCACTTTTGTCTGCCTAAATAACTTCAGCCAATGCCATTCATTAATTCAGATAAATTAATATTTAAGTATTTCTGAAACAGTACTATAATATACCGATATGAAATGACATTTTCTAACAAAAGTGAAAAGGTGTTCTTGAAGGCGTACATATATGTATATTCGGGCCATTCCACATCATTTAAACACAGCAGTTACCATGACCACCTCCTTGTATTTCAGTGAAATTTATTAAGCTCAAGTTTACAAGGTCTGATACATAAATGAAAAGTATGAAGTTTTCCCTTCCTGTGTCAATTAATTTCAAAGTTGTTCTCCTGCACTCTCAAGCTGGACAGAGAGGAATGGCCTCCACATTATAGTCCCTTTAATCTCTTTACACAAGAATATATAATAATTAAGGACATGAAGAGTTCTATTTTTTGGGGATAGAACACTGTGTTCTGACAAAAATCAAGCAACATTTCACAAGAACACAACATTTCCACCTTCAGGGCCAATGAGGAAGCTATGCAAAAAACCAGTATCAAGCAGGCAGCTGGTTTCTTGCTTGGCTTTCTCTTCAATCATGAAGATGGAAGCAACATGTTCCTCCAAAATGTAGGTTGACTTTCACCAGACTACATGGTGTTATATCACAGCAGACAGAACTCTTCATAGTTACCGCCATGAGAACCTCAAATCCAACATAATTAAGGACATGTCTACCACAAGGTGAATAAAGAGAAACCATAAAAGTACATAAGACAAGATTATTAAATGGTGATCTATAAATACATGTCAATCTCACCCTGTCTCCCTTGAAGAAGCTCCATTCGCGAATTGGTTCAAGAAAAACTTTCTTGTGCATTTTTCCCCTCTGGTTGTCCATTTGAAATTGTGCTGTCCAGGGTCGATGAATATCAAAATAATATTTCCTACGTTTTACTTCCCGTTGCAGATACTGGCGGGCTTTCGGTGTGCGCCAATAAACCTGGAAAACAAAATGAGAAAAGAACTCCTCTACACAGAAAACAAATTCAAGGTGAATTTAAAAAGTAATTAATGGGAATTTTGTGTGTAAAATCCTGAAAATTTATGAGACAGCAGTCTTGTGGAGAACAGACATACCACATATTGAAGCAAGTACAGGTATGTTGTGGAGTAGCCATTATGTTCAGTGAGACTCATCATGCAATCATACTGTAAACAACTGCACATTTTGAATCCACCACTGCTGAGCAACATTCAGTCTGGACGAAAATAAAGTTGAAAGTTGAATGTAACTTTCTGTTACATGTTACTCTGAACATGGTAGACTGGTGCAAAAACTGCAATACCAAGAAGTCGTTCCTCAGCTCTACAATAAAATGAAACTAAAAACTGCACGTGACTAACCATCTTACTTAATTCTGAGCCTAACTTCGAAAATTTCTCAAGTTAGGTGTTTAATTGTTAAAAAAACGACAAGTTAAACAACGTAAAGACAAGAAGTTATTGCACATACTGTGTATTTAGAACTATGAAATCAGGCCAGACACATAACTGAATCTAATATGCAATCCGATTAAGTAAGACAACACAAACTCAGCCTCTAGATCTGACATAATATACACTTTGTTATTATTATCATTATTATAGGTTATGTTATAACCTGTTCCATGGCCCTCTTGATATACGATTCGGGAAGATTTGAATACTGCTTCGTTAGGTCGGCAACTTTACACAGAATAGCTGATAACCGCATATTTCAAAACCATGTAATATTAAGGTAATAAACAATTAATCAAAATTTCTCAGACACTTCCCAATCACAACCTANAGTGTCCGCCGGCCACCGCGGCAGCAGTGGCTGTGTTGCCCGCCAATAGCATTGAGTTGCATACCCCTGTTCAAGACCGTCAAGACGGTCAAGACGATCAGGGTGAAACCAATCGTGCTGGTGTACATGTAGTATTAATTTTGCGCAGCAGGTCCATCTGCCAACAAACCTGCTGGTCATCTGTCGCCTAGGCCGGATGGCTATTGCTTAGGCCTTTTTTTGTATTTACAATTATTTTTCCTCACAATAAAAATTCATCTGTCGCCATTCTCACGAAAATTACAAATTCAGAACACATTTCATTTACTTCAATATTGGGTGTTAGGAGTTGGCCGTGGGATTTTTTTTAATGTAATGTCAATAACACCAACGATTCCTGGGAAGAAATCATTATGCTTTCTGTCCTTAAATTGTTTCAGTATGGACCTGTATATTGACATGGGCGAGAATTTTTGAACTGATACTGAGGCCTAGGAATACTGAGGGAACCCGAGAAGCGCAGTCGATATAACGACACAGGCAACTTCACCTCTTTTCTACAAAGATCATTGTCTTCTGGGATTCGCGTCGAGTAATGTGGTAAACTACGCGGCATCACTTTTCTATTCTAACCCTAAAGAAGAACGAATGAAAGAATGTGTAAGGGCTGGGCATTCTTGGCCCTTGCACCGCGATCACAGTGATATATTGTGCCTCCCTTTCTGATTATCCCCTCAACAATCCTGTGCATCGAATGAAGAGTAGGATTTTGTATGTTGGGACGTCGAAATAGTCACTTGGTTCCATAAAATATTGACCCAAGTGACGCAATCTTACATAAGGTAAGGCCTCACATTTGCACAGGATATGTGTGGCTGTTCCGTTTTCTTCTTGACACCTCTCACAAGTTGGACTATTATTTATTCCCAGTTTGAACAAGTGTCCTTTGAGGTGACAGTGTCTTGTGAGTAGTCCTACCATCCATCGTAGATGGTTCCTCTTTAACTTCAACAGTTCCTTCACTCTTTTAGTAGAGGGTCGTCATATGAGTCCCTTTGCTTGCCTAAGTTAGGGTTGCCAGATTTTATAATTTAAAAAAGGAGTGATGTCTCATTGCTTGTTTATAACGACATTTTTCACAACTAATAGGCTATAAAATATACATAATCAACATACTACATAACTTACAAAATGTGACTACACATCTGTATTACATAGGCCTACTACACGTTTATAGAACAAAACAAATATTATGTAGCCCTATTACATATTTATAGAATGCACAAAATATTACCTAGGACACATTTGTACAACACACAAATATTAAATATTACATTTTTATAACTTTCAAGGGCTGGTCGATCAGATTCTGTTAATTGTATTTCACTGAACTCTTAGCACTTTTTAATAATTGAACATCACCCTTTGAAAATTTATAAAATTCTGAACAGGACTTGCTTTCATAGTTCACTGTAACCTAGAGTTCTGCCTTGGTTAAATCTGTTGAGCATCTGTTTCTTGTGTCACTCCACTTACTTTTCATGAATGAAAAGATTCGCTCCACAAAAGCATTTGAGCCAGGGATGCTAAACAAAAATCCTACCACTTTGGAAATATTTGGTACATCATGCTCAGGTACTGAAAAAAAAATGTAAGCCAGTTGGCTACATAATCACCATATCTGTTCACACTGTTGCAGAGGTTATCTCGATGGCTGCTGAACTCCTCGTACAGGTCATCAATGCAAGCATTTTCACTTAGCCGAAACACTTCTATGGCTTTTTCAAAATCTTTGAACTCAGTCCCTT